CTGCTGGGTTTAGGCTTTATTTGCTGTTCTTTCTCCAGCTCCTTTAGGTGTAGGGTTAGACTGTGTATTTGAGACCTTTCTTGTTTCTTGAGAAAGGCTTGTATTGCTATATACTTTCCTCTTAGGACCGCCTTTGCTGCATCCCAAAGATCATTTGAACAGTTGTGTTTTCATTTTCATTTGTTTCCATGAATTTTTTTAATTTTTCTTGAATTTCCTGGTTGACCCATTCATTCTTTAGTAGGATGCTCTTTAGCCTCCACGTATTTGAGTTCTTTCCAACTTTCCTCTTGTGATTGAGTTCTAGTTTCAAAGCACTGTGGTCCAAAAATATGCAGGGAATGATGCCAATCTTTTGGTACCGGTCAAGACCTGATTTGTGACCTAGGATGTGATCTATTCTGAAGAATGTTCCATAGGCACTAGAGAAGAATGTGTATTCTCTTGCTTTGGGTTGGAATGTTCTGAATATATCTGTGAAGTCCATTTGGTTCAGTGTTTCATTTAAAGCCTTTATTTCCTTGTTGATCTTTTGCTTAGATGATCTGTCCATTTCAGTGAGGGGGGGTGTTAAAGCATTGGACAAGTTTCTTAACCTCTCTCTCAATTTAATCAATGACATGGAGATAATAGTACCTGACTCATAGTGTTGTCAAGATTCAGTAAGTTAATACAAGGAAATTGTTTAGTGAGTGCCCAGCATCTGGTAAGCTCAATAAAAGCTCACAGAATTTTAACTCCATTAAATTGTAAACACGCTGGCAAACCATCTTGGGGACCTCATCATTCAGTCATGACTTAGATTCTGTCTGAAAATGCATTTTGTGGTGTTTGTTGAGGGAGTGTGAAGGCATCAAGAAAGCCTCCCCCTGTACTGACTGCCACAGCTAAGAGTCCTGAGGAGCCCAGGGTGCTAAAGGTGAAGGCTGGGGAGTATGTAAGAAAACTGGGAGGTGGAGGGGAAGGAACTTGGCTCCCACACCCAAGGGGAGTCTGCAACCCTTGGTCCCAGCTGGAGGTTGTGGTTTTGGACCCCAGACTCCTGTCCCCAACTCTTTCCCTCCAAAGAGGTCTCACAGGGGCCAGGAATGTGCCCCCAGGCCATCCAGCTCAGTTCTATAGTGATCCGGAGCACTGGCTTTAGAATCAGTTTGAGACCTGAGCCTTTTCCTGTCTATATGACCTAGCCATGTTTCTTTATTTCTCCTAATCCTAAATTCTTCATCTGTAAAGCAGGCATAATAATACCTACTTTATATGTTTTTTGTGAAGATACATAAAATAATACATGTAATTTTCTTAGCCCAGAGCCTAGCACATTAAGTACTCTAACTAAAAGTAAATGTTAGCTGCTATTATTTTGCTCTTATAACTGGTGAAATCTGATCCTCCACAGCATCACAACATCTAGGGAGGTGGTTTTAGACCAGGAGTCATCTGTGAATCCCCTGTGGGAATTCTTTCAAACTATAGCATGCTTCCCACCTCATCCAAAATTCTGGCATGATTCCCTCTAGCAGTGGTTCTCAACTTTGGGTATACATTAGCATCATCTGGAGAGCTTTAAAAAATGCCGGCCCTGGCCACCACCCAGACTAATTATTTCAGAATCTTTGAATATATTAAGGTATAATTTATATACAATAAAATACACCCATTTTAAGTATACAGTTCACTGAAGTTTGACAAATTTATATACTCATGTAACCACCACCATTTTAAGATATAGAACATTTCCATCACCCTCAAGAGTTATCTTTGCCCCTTTGCTGTCAATTTCCCTCCCTCTGCCCCCGACAACCACTGATCTGCTTTCTGTCACTATAGATTAGTTTAGCCTATTCTATAATTTTATATAAATGGAATCATAGAGCTTGTATTTTATGTGTATCTGGCTTCCTTTGCTCAATGCAGTGTTTTGAGATTCACTCATTTTATTGGTGTATCAGCAGTTCCTTTTTACTGCCTAGTAATATTCCATTTCATGGCTCTACCACAGTCTGCTTATGCATTTGCCTATTGGTAGACATTAGAGTTGTGTCCAGTGGGCTATTGGGGCTATTATGAATAAAGCTTCTATGAACATTCATATGCAAGCTTTTATGTAGACATGTTGTAAATTTTCTTTGGTAAGTTACCTGGGAATGGACTTGGGTCATAAGGGAAGTATTTTAAAAGCTTGATCAGCATTTTTAAAGCTCTCAAAGCTCTTCCTGTGCCGCGCATGGCATGGTTGAGAGCCCAGTGCCTTGAGTGTGTGTAGTAGGATAAGAGTTGTAGCAATGTTGGGGGATCAGTGGCCCTGGTGTCCCCCTGCTGTTTGCAACATATGATCCTGGATCCCCCTTAGTGGTTTTACCACCTACAGAGCCTTCATCTGTGTCCTGATATGAGGGAGGGCTGCTGCTTGAGGTTATGAGATGTTCTTAAAATAATCCTAGTTTATTCAGTAATGTTTATTAAGCACATACCTGGTAACACAGTGTCAAATGTAGTGAATACAGAAATGGTCAACACAGCTCCTGCCTTCAGGGAACTTGTACAGCCAGGACCAAGTTAACAACTACAATATTCTCCACCCTGTATTATTATAGAGTGTTCTAAGAGCCTAGCTAGAAACTGCTGCCTAACTAGAACATCCTACTGAGCAACACTACCTTCCTTGTAATTCAGGTAAGACATTTGGTAAAAAGTCAGAATCTGCTCCATTTTAGGAAGTTGGTATTATTAGTAGCCTATGTTCCTTTGGCTTCTTCTTTTTTTTAACCATGAAAACAAAAGGAGATGTTCTAATTTATAGTTATTATCGTTAATTAAACATAAGTGCTAAAGTGTGTATGCAGAATTAAAAGGCCAACTTTAAAAAAATAAGAGGCTGCTTGTGCTCATATGTTGGAGCAAGTTTTCCAGACAGGATCTGAAAAGAGCTGGGCAACTGTTGGACATAGAAGAAGGTACAATTGAACAAAGTTTAATTGAGGTCTTCCTTATTAGAGTGATTTGAGAAATGCACTTAGTAGACTCAAAGAGTTAAGATGGAAATAACTGGACAAGAGAGAAGCAACAGAACCAGAATCCATCAGCACTGTGGATGGCTCTCTAGGCTTTTCAGGGCTCTGGCTAGGACTGGACTTGACAATGTCCTTCCATTTGTTGACAGCCTTGCAGTCTCACTAACAGGTTCTTGGCCAGATCCACACACCGTTCATCTATTTGGTCCTAAAGAGTTACACCCAGTCTGGCTCCCCAGCCCAAGAGACTTTCTTCTCCTCCTCCTCCTAGGACCCTTGCCTTTGGATTTTATAGAGAGTAAATGTCCTTTACCAACGATGTGCACTCCTCAGCACAGGAGTGCCTAGGTCTTAGATTTCCCTCCATTAGTATCCGTCTTTAAAATGTATGTATCCTTTTACTCAGCAATTCAATTTCTAGGAATCTCTTCTATAGACATAATCACACATGTGCACAAGCATATAGGAGCAAATATATTCATCAGCCATTATTAGTAAGAGTAAAAAAAATGTCTAATAGAGAATTCTTAATTTAATTATGGCTTATGTGCATTATGAAATACCGCTCTTAAGAACAATGAGGTAGATCTGTGTATGCTAACGCAAAAATGTATCTGTGATATGTTGTGGGAAAAAAGTGTTGGACCAATAATGTAGAAATGGTCCCATATTAATTTTTTTTTTCAAAAGCGAATTTTTTTTATTTGTGTGTACTTGTTAAAGGTCTGGTGGGATATATGTCAAACTGTTGATAGTGCTTACCCCTGAAAATGAGATTAGAACAAAGAAACTTTCACTTTTTCATTTTGGAAATGTCCGTATTATTTGTATCTTGTAAAATAGGCATATCTTTGTAAATTTTTTAAAGTAACCTTCTTCTCTTGGGTTCTGCATCTCTCTGGGTTGGATTCCAGGGTCAGACTGGGAGCTTATATTTGCATAGGCCCTTACAACTGCAGAAGATGTCTCTGACTGAAGATTGACTTAGGTTCTAAGAAGTGCTTTCTAGTAGCAATGCCAGATGCCTGAAAAAAATTCTTATTCACCAGAGATATAGAAAGGGAACTGATGCATAAGAGTTTAGTAGATGAGGAGTAAAGTGCCTGCATAATACCCACTTATTAAAATCTGCAAATAGGTCTGCTACTTGGACTGCTTGTTTCACGGGTCAGTATTTGCTTTAAAAACACTTGATGCAATGGACTTCGGATATGATTCAATTCACGGGATGTGTTGAAATCCTAAGAAATCAAATATTAATGCAGTGGAGGATGCTTGTCATGGGATACCAGTCAACCTCTCCTCGTTTCCTAAATAGATTGTGAATTGGATAGACTTGTCCTGGGAGACTGTATCACCAATTGTTTTTGTTCTTGAAAGGAAAAAAAGAGAAAGGATAGGTTGTATAACGGAATCCCAAAATCTCAAAGCATCGCATTGTTTCATAAGCTTTATGAACATAATAATATTAACTTGATTTTAATGGATAATCTCAAAAGCTCTGTTTCCACTCAGAGGATACTTGAACTGATAAAATGATTCTGATGTAACACAACCTAAATTTTTAGGACAATTTGGTTACTATTTGATTTATTGAAATATGTCCTCTTTATTGGTGATGGTGGTGATTGTTTTAATATTGTCCCATTATTCTCTTTTCTGTTTTCTCTTAAAATCAGGTTGAAGAACTACACCCTGGTTTTTCTAAGTCCAATTACTTGTTCTTGGCCAAGGTGAGGAAGACCACTGTTTTGGGTTTTTTTTTTAATATTCTATTTATTGGGGCACCTGGATGGCTCAGATGGTGGAGCACCTACCTTCGGTTCAGGTCGTGATATCCAAGTCTTGGGATTGAGCCCCACGTCAGGCTTCCAGCTTAGCGGGGAGCCTGCTTCTCCCTCTCCTTCTGCCTCTCCCCCTGCTTGTACTCTCCCTCTGTCTCTGTCTCTCTCTCAAATGAGTAAATAAAATCTTTAAAAATATATATATTTTATTTATTTATTTATTTATTTATTGAGAGAAAGAGAGAGAGAGTGCAAGCGGAGTGAGGGGCAGAGGAAGAGAGAGAATCTCAAGCAGACTCTGCACTGAGCGGGGAGCCCTACTTGGGGCTCAATCCCATGACCCTGAGATCATGATTTAAGCCAAAACCAAGAGTCAGACGGTTAACCAACTGAGCCACCCAGGCGCCCCGGGAAGACCACTGTTTTAAGATCACTTTGAGTCCATTACATAAAAATGTGCTTGCCTTTCATATTGACTATTTTTCATTTCTAGTGTTACATCGATCTTGAACAAACAGATGACGCTATGAAGTTTTGTAATTTGGCCGTGTTGCTTCCTTGTGTTACCAAAGAGGTAAGTCTCCCAACAGTGACAATGAGGGCTGTTATTTTGTTAGTCCTTTTCTGGCTTCAAAGATAGCTTAGAAACATCTGGATTTTTCTTCCATACTAAAACTTTGGATTTAACATGTAGTATGAAGTTTTTAAAATTGCTGCAGGTAACCCTTCACCAGCAGACTCCCTGTATCTTTCAGGGACACACAAATCGTGGGCTAACAGTTAAAACATCCTAATGCCTGTTAAGGGATTAGGCTAAGCCCCACTGGGGGAAGGAAGGAGGACAGCCTAATTCTGGGGAGCCGATGACGATGAAGCTGTGATAGGCAGCAGACAAGTAGGCAGGCTGCCCACCTTGGAGCGAGAGGACTGTCCACGTGGCTGCCATCTTCAGGCCTAGCTCACAGCAGGGGAGGGCTATCCTCTAGCAGGAAGAAGATTAAAAATAACGTATTAGCATTTTCTCAGTCTTTGAACACCTACCACTAATGAAGAAGAAACTATCGTATTGCTTCTTGCCCTTTTGTTCACTAATTCAGGGTTCTGGATGTACTCTGTTTTAGGAATTTCAGAGTTAACAGTCCAGCCTGTGTTCCTGTGAGCCATATATTGGTACTGTGGGAACAAAAGAAAATTAATAAATGTTTTCCTTCTCCCTTCTCATACCACTAAACATTATCATCCTCTGAATCACAGCTAAAAGAAATGCCTCAAGGGGCGCCTAGGTGGCTCAGTCGGTTAAGCCTCCGACTCTTGATCTCAGCTCAGGTCTTGATCTCAGGGTTGTGAGTTCAAGCCCCACGTTGGGCTCTGCACTGGGTATGGAGTCTACATTTAAAAAAAAGAAAAAGAAAACAAATGCTGCCTCAGAAATAAGCATCCCTCTTCTTCTCTGTTGGAGCCACACTGGCTCCGATGTTTGTGATCTCAAATATAAGCATGTAAGGCATGCCCACAGCCCTCTAGAATAGCCCACAGCCCTCTATAGCCTAGAATATAAGTTATATATCCAAATAACTATAGCTCAGGGTGGAAAGCCTGAAGTGCTAAGAGAGGTACAAATAATTGGTTATGGAAATAGTGAAAATGGAAATTATTTTCACCTAGAAGAGATCAAGTAGATCAGAGGTGGGTTTTGATGACGTGGAGGTGTGAGTGAAGCACATCGCAGATCATGAACAAAGGCACGGGGGTGGAAAAGCGAAGATTTGTGTGCTCGGAGGGAAGGGGGTGTTCAGGACAGTTATGGGAAATATGGATGACGGAGAAGGGGAACAAGACCTTCCTGGAGCTTCAGGGTTCGGGGAGGCCCGCGTCTGTAGACAGGGCTGGCCAGCCTCCCCCGGGCCTTCCCAGCAACCGCTGGCAGTAGGTCTCGGATGGCTTCTAGGTTTGGGCTTTCCTATGAGGTTGGTTGTCCTTCTCCCTCAGGTCCCTCGGTGGGTTCTGTTGGTCAGTTCTGAGCACAACAGCACGGGCTCAGTAGCGGCACTTCCCCACAGAAGACACTTGATGTAATTTTGGGGGCAGAAAAACAGATTTTGTCCCTCTGGCTGCCTGCTCCGTATCGGTGATGGGGACCCTACCATCTTTCCCATCTCTCCTGAATGATGTCACTTAGGTTACATGCAGTCATCTTAAACTGAGTGTCTATGCATTCTTATTAGAATTTACGATTAGACTACAGTATGATAATGAAATTTAATACCTGGTGTGACATGCAAATATTCGTGCACGAAATTTAGAGCTCTCATACAAGGGCTAAATATCGATGACCCCCAAGGTTTGGCCCTTGGTCCCTCAGTCTCCCCTCTCCTCTCACCTTGCCTCCTCCCTACCCTACAAGCCTGTTGTCCGTGACGTCAAATGCTATCTCCCTGCCAGGAGTCCTCAAATTTGTATCTCTAGACCTCCCTTCTGAGCTCTAGACCTGATTGTCCACCTTTCTATGTGCCATCTCTACCTGGATGTTTTGCAGACATCTCAAACTTAACTTGTCATCAGGCCCTTGGATCTGTTCCTCTCCATCTTCTCATCTACTAAACAGCACGTTCATTCATCAGTTAGGAACGCTGGGAATCATTCTTGACCCCTCCTTCTACCTCAGCGCCCAACCCAGACACCCACCCAGCCCCCAAGTTCTCAGGATTCCTCTTCTAAAACATGCCATGAGCCACCCAACAGCCCTCTCGTTCCACTGCCACCACTCCAAACAGGAAACCACCTGAGTTCACCCAAACTGCACTGTGGGAGCCTCCCACTGGTCCCACCACTTTCTTCCTCCCTCCGGGTCATTCTTGGCTCTCCATAGCAGCCGAGGCAACAGATGAAACAAACCTCAATCTGTCCCTTCCGTACTTGAAAGTCCTAAGTGTGTAGCATGTCCTTCACGGCTCTGATGCATGTTCCCCACTCTCCTCACCTCTGCACCATGCTCTTCCCTGCCTCACACCGTCGGGCCCTGTTGTTGCCTCTTCCGGAAACACTCCCACCCAAGCCCTCCACCCCCTTCACCACCTTTATTCCCACTCACCCTTTAAGCCTCACCACAAATGTCATTTCCTTAGGAAAGACTTCCTTGACGCTCCCAGGCAAGAAAGTACTTTGTGCTTTTCCTTCAAGTCATTGAACAGGGCTGTGGTTGCCTCGTTATGTGTGTGATTGTTCCACAAGAGTCTCGGCTAGGTGGGTCTCGTCCACGCCTCTATTCCTAGTGCCAGGTGCCATGCCTGGCATATAATAAGCACTCGTGAGTCCTGGTAGGAAGAATCAGAAGACTAATAGCATGCAAATAAAACTACTAGTGCTAATAGTGCTAATAAGTAGGACTGGATATGAATGTAACTAAGAGAGCTGGGCCCTATGGAAATACTTATGTAATAAGCAAAATAGCATTAATAAATATTTCCCATGTTACTTTTTTTTTCCCCAGGGATGTTTCCATTTGTATTTTCTAGGAGGTTTGGTTTTGTTTTGTTTTTTTCAAGGAGTTAAATGTACTGTCAGGAATATCTCCATTTCTTTTTCAATTAGCAAATAAGCTGAGGAGAGTTATCTGTAGTACCCCTTATCTCTGTAAGGTTTTCCTGATGGAAATATACCCCATTAGTGATTCTGCTGACCCGTCTATTAATTTCCAAAATGTCCAGCACAGCCATTCATTACAGTGACGGCCACCGGGCCATCGGCGCGCTCTCCCTCACGTGAACTTGCCTGACCTGTGTGCTGCTTTCTCGTGGTGCTTGTAACCGCTTCCTGGCCATATAGTCACTTGTGACCTGTCTTCCGTCCCTTTCAGGGAGCGCTAACTCATCACACTGCACTCAGTATTGGGAATGTCAGCCCTTGGGCTCTGGGGCCCAGATTCATGCATGTGAGCAGCTTTACATTCCCAGAACTTGAAACTACAATATTTTATTATTCATGTGGACTTTTTTGACCCCAGGGAGGTAATAGGTCCTGAGAAACATTCCGTTTAAAAAAAAAAAAAAATGGGATTTCTATGTCTAAGGCAGTGTGAGAATGTTTGATGAATGAAGTCATGACCACAAAGCAGCCTAGGAGTTCTTTGCCTGGAGGAAGGGTCCAAGTGACTGACCTGGACTATGCTGCAAACGCTCCGTGCGCGAAGCAGCGTGTAGTATTGTGTGTTACAACGAGGGGTACGCTAGTCTGGTAAAGAAACAGACTGTTCTTAAACGGCTGTAATATTTTGAAGTGACATTAATTGCTCTTGTAAGACAAAGTCTTATAGGACAGTAAATAAAATATATGAGAAACAACTCCAGGAAGAAGAGGACATCGGAAGCACTCAAAGACAACAGTGTCCTGGCTCACAAGTTCTTGGAAGTTACCTGTTGTTTAAAATCCTGGGCTGTATCTCCATGCTGTTACATAGATTAAGAATCATCCCTCTGATTAGTCACCACTCTTAGCAATAAAATCCTAAGCCTGCTTTTAATTTTCTGTCTTAATTAAGACCTCATATTTGATTTTCTTCATTAAGAGATTGGTTTTTCAGATAAGTTTAGATAAAATAGAATTAGTCTACAAATGTTCACCCTGCTTTCCTGTTATGGGAACACAACAGCTCAGAGTGATGAGTGGGTTACTTACTGAAACCCAGAAATGTTGTTCAGCATCCCATTTTTTAGCAATTCTGATTTACCTATTTATTTCTGGTTTGGATTTATTTCTTATAGATTAACTCGTCTGTGCCATCCATGCCTGGAGAATTCATTCTTCCTGGTACATTTTAAAAGAAAGTAATAAGGCCACTAAAGGATGGACAGATTTTTCTCACTCTCTGTGAACAGACATTTTCATGAGCTGCCGGCCAGGGGTGCTACTGTTTACAACCCCCTATTTCTACTCTTTTGGCTCTTCTCTTATATTGATTGGCATTCCAAAACATATTATTCGTTAAGCTTTCTTGATATGTAATGGCCTTGGTTGTATTTTTTAAGTTGATCTTTAAAAACACCTTAAAGAAATTTCTTAGACCTCCTTTTAATAATTTTCTTAAAATAACTGATGACACAGCATCGGTTTGGAATCAGTCATTCTTAAGCAGTACCCAGTCTAGTCAAGTTGTTGTTTGATAATCATTACCCAAATGCCAGGAGTATAACAATGTAATATAAGTAAATCTCTCTCTTACTTATCCAAAGTCTTCAGCAGAGAGTATTGATATATTTTCCCATATGTGCTTCTTTCTTGTGGCACTTGTAATCTCTTCCTGTCATGATAGTTATTTGTGACATGTCTTCTGTCCCTTTCAGGGAGCTCTAAGCTCATCACACTGCACTTGTTATTGAGAGTATCAGCCCTTGGGCTCTGGGGCCCAGATTCATGCATGTGAACAACTTTACATTCCTGGAATTTGAAACTACAGTGTTTTACGGAGAGAAAGTGTGCTGTCTCAGCAGAAGGGTTTGGATAGTTTGAATCTGGGGAAGAAAGGAATAACCTGAACTCAAAACCATAACCCAAGTCCTCAGAAGATGACATTTACAC